TGGGGATTCCTTGGCTGAGCACAGTGTGTCTTCAGGGCTGACCCTGCCTGAGTCAGGCTTCCCGGGCCGGCCTACTGCAGGGAGAGGGGCTCAGGCAGCACTGTGGGTGCTCACCGGTCTCCTGCCTCTTCTTGCCACCCGCTGCTGCCGCCTCTGCCTCTGCCCTCATCATGTCGGGGCGCAGGATGTTCTCTTCAGATTGGTTTTTGACTTGATGTCAAAACTCATCTCAGGATGAGTTTGTCCTTTGGCTCTCCTCTCGTGGTGGCTGAGCTGTCACCCAGGGCACACTCCTGGCTACCAGGCCCACCTGTCCTTCCTGTTGGTGGCATGCTTTCTGCAGGACTCTGGTTTCTTCAGTTTCCTGTGTGTCTCCTTTCCCTGTTTAAATGGAGAGGAAATGTCTATCCTTCATGAACAAACAATATAAGAAACAGAGCTCTGTATGACCAGTCCCTTAGTTACTCAGATTTATAAAATGAAATGTTCCGTTGTAATTAGCCTGCTTTTATAGTTACAGTAGTGATAGACTTCTTATCACCTGTGTGCACCCTTACAGACTCGGGACCCGTTTGGGCTTACTCTCATTAGCTGTACTTGTTGATCTCTTTTCAGGATTTGCACGATCACAGCTTGGCTAGGGACAGCCCCTGTAGGCCATTTCCCCACTCTTTCCTCCTACGAAGGCCTTCTCCCTTTCAGACATAGCAAGGGATTCTGGTACCACATTCTCTTTTCTCTGTTTTAAGACGGAGTTAACCGCTGCCCTGTGTTGTTTGTGTGTGTGTGTTTTCCTGAGCTCTTTTAGTGGGGAGCACTGTTAGAAGCAATCTGGATGCTCTGGGTTCATTTTGTGGTGTTCTCCAACAGTCTCGCTGTGGGTAGGCTCGTGATGTCACTGCTGGAACACTCCAGAGTCAGAGCTGGGAAGGGCAGTCTTCATGCTTGTGGGTGAGCTTGTATGTATTTCTGATTTAACTTTAAGACTATCTCATCCTTTTTTTGTTTTCCTCCAAGATTTTATTTATTTATTTATTTATTTGAGAGAGAGACCAAGTACAAGCACGGTGGATGGGCAGAGGGAGAGGGAGAAGCAGGCTCTGTGCTGAGCAGAGAGCCCGATCCAGGGCTTGATCCCAGGACCCCGAGATCACGACCTGAACTGAAGGCAGCCGCTTAAGTGACTGAGCCATCTAGGTGCCCCGTCTAATCCTTTCTTTTTATTTTTTTTATTATTTTTTAAGATTTTATTTGACACAGAGAGAGATCACAAGTAGGCAGAGATGCAGGGAGAGAGGGGTGGGAGAAGCAGGCTCCCTGCTGAGCAGAGAGCCTAATGCGGGGCTCCATCCCAGGACCCTGAGATCATGACCTCAGCCGAAGGTAGAGGCTTAACCCATTGAGCCACCTCAGTGCCCCTGTGTCTAACCCTTTCTTAATGCCCACCTAAACTTCTACTCTTTTCTTCTCCCGTCCGTGTAGTATTTCTTTGTGTCTCACTGGCAACTGTTCTGTCATTGCATTCTTCACACATTACCACGTTGCTTTCCAGAAGACCTGGTACCAGCATCATGGGTTCGTGGTGCCAGCCGCAGGTAGAGTGGTGCTTTTTTTTATCATGGCTTTGCCAGCTTTTGGTGTTCCTCTGTGTGGTGAACATATTTAATTGTCGTTATTATGTATCTGTCTGTCCTCCATCCTCTCCCGTAATCGCAAACATCCAGTGCCATCTCTGGTCTCTTTAAGGTGTCTTTGGATACCTTGCATGTTTTCATCTCTTGGTGCCTTGAGGTTTTTGGTGCCTTTTTGTTGTCCATTTCTTCATCTAAAGTCTTGATGGTTTATAAATTTGAATGAGCTCTTGTATGTAACTGAATGCAGTCATATGTGATACAGCTGTTTTAGCAGCTTATTGAGATGTAGTTTGTGGACTGTACAGTTCACCTATTTAAATAATTCAGTGGGTTTTAGTGTGTGCACAGGGTCATAGAGCCATCATCACGATCTAGTTCCAGAGCATTTTCAAGACCTTACAAAGAAACTCAAGACCCATTAGCAGGCCGCCCCCCGCCCTGCGTCCTGCCCGCAGCCCCTGATGACCAGACCACCCATCTGTTTTCTGTCTGTGGGTCCGCCTCTTCTGGACAGCTCATGGGCATGGGATCCCACAGTGCGTGGCCTGTTGTGTCTGGCCCTTCTGACGGAGCGTGGTGTCTCCCACGTTCATTTATGTCGTAGCATGTACCAGTGTTTCCTCTTCATAGCTGAACAGTACTCAGTTTTCACGGCTGGACTGCGTTTGTTCATCCACTTATCCGTTGGTGGACCTCTGGGCTGTGTTCACCTTTTGGCCGTTTAGGTGTCCTGCTGCTGTCAGCATTCTCGTACAGGTTTCCTGTGGACATAGGTTTGCCTGTCTCCGGGTACACACCTAGGCTGGGAATTCCTCGCTTTCGTGGTGCCTGTTGGCTCCTGAGGAACTGCCAGACTGTCTGCCGAAACCACGGCGCCGGGTCACACGCCTAGCAGCAGTGCCTGGAGGTCCCGACTTCCCCACAGCCTCACCAGCACTTGTCACTGTCTGTTGTGTGATGCTGGCACCCTCGTGGGTGTCAGGAGGAATCTCCTCACGGCTCTGATGTGCGTTTCCATAGTGACGGTGCTGTTGGGCATCTCTTCGTGTGCTTATTGGCCATTTGTCTATCTTTTCAGAGAAATGTTTATTCAGATCCCTTGCCTGGTTTTTAAGTGTGTGTGAGTGAGTGAGTGTGTGTGTGTGTGTGTGTGTGTGTTTTAATTGGGTTGTAAGAGCTCTATGTCGTCTGCATACAAGTCCCTTAGCAGATGCGTGATTTGCACGTACTTTCTTCTCTTCCATAGATTGTCTTTTCACTTTATTATTTTTTAAAATATTTTATTTATTTATTTGACAGAGAAAGAGAGCACAAGTAGGCAGAGCAGCAAACTGAGGGAGAGGAAGAAGCAGGCTCTCCTCTAAGCAGGGAGCCTGATCTGGGGCTGGATCTCAGGACCCTGAGATCATGACCTAAGCCAAAGGCAGTGGCTTAACCCAGTGAGCCATCCAGGTGTCCCATCTTTTCACTTTCTCTCTCTCTCTCTTTTTTTCTTTTTAAGATATTTATTTATTTATTTATTTGACAGAGATCACAAGGAGGCAGAGAGGCAGGCAGAGAGAGAGGAGGAAGCAGGCTCACCGCCGAGCAGAGAGCCTAATGCGGGGCTCGATCCCAGGACCCTGAGATCATGACCTGAGCGGAAGGCAGAGGCTTAACCCACTGAGCCACCCAGGCGCCCCCCATCTTTTCACTTTCTTAATGGTGATTTTGAAGCACAGAAGTTTGTAATTTTGGTGAAGTCCCTTTGATCTGTGGTTTGGTTTTATTTTATTTTTTCTTTTTGTTGTTTGTGCTTTTGGTCTCATATCTAAGAAGGTATTGCCAAGGTCAGGAGGATTTACTCATATATTTTCTTCTAAGAGTTTTATAGTTTTCGTTTTTACGTGTAGATCTTTGGTAAATTTGAGCTAGGTTTTGTATATGATACAGGAAAGGCATTCGACTTCATTCTTTTTGTGTGTGGCTATGCGTTTGTTGAAAAGAATGTCCCTACTCACTAAGGGTCATGGTGCCCTTCTCAAATATGAGTAGATTGTAGACATCTAGGCCTCCTCTCCTAAACTCTCCTACGCTCCTCCCTGCGTGACCACCCTGTTCTGGTTACTGTAGCTTTGTTTCTAAGGTCGTGTGGGTAAGCTGGTTCAGCTTTGTTCATTTCTGAGATTGTTTGTTCTGTGTCCCATGTGAATTTTAGGACCGGCTTACAATTTCTGCAAAGAAGCCAACCGGGGAGTTAGTAGAGATTCCATGGAAGAAGTTTTAAAATTTGTTAAATTTTGGGGGCGCCTTGGTGGCTCAGTGGGTTAAAGCATCTGCCTTTGGCTCAGGTCATGATCTCAGGGTCCTGGGATCGAGCCCTGTATCGGGCTCTCTGCTCGGCGGGGAGCCTGCCTCTCCCTCTCTCTCTGCCTTCCTCTCTGCATACTTGTACTTTCTCTCTGTAAAATAAATAAATAAAATCTTTTAAAAAAATAAAATTTGCTAAATTTTGAATTTGTTTAAATAATTTAAAAACCCGAAACTCTACCTGGCCTGAAGGTACCTTTGGTTGGAGTGAGCCTCTGGGTTCTAGAACAGGCGGTTTCCCAGGTGTTAACCAGTTACTCCACTGCTGTCTTTTTTTGAGAAGCTTATATAACCAAATCTAACTTTTTTTTGAAGTAGGTCCCACACCCAGTAAAGACTCAACATGAGGCTTGAACTCACGACCTCGAGATCCTGACCTGAGCTGAGCCCAAGAGTCGGGCACTGAACTGGCAGAGCCACCCAGGCACCCTCAGCTGTAGCTTTCATGTACAGCTGACGGTCCTGGAGTCCTCTTCCCACGAAGTTCTGCTTCTGTGCTGTAGCGCTGCTCGGTTGAAATTCTGTTTCGTTGTGCAGTTTTAAGCCAGTCTGTGTGTTCAGGCCCTAATTGAGTTCCTTCTGTGTGTCCAGCCTGTATGAGGTGTGGGTGGGTGAGTCGGCGAGGAGCTCCGGGTGGGGATGCCGTGGTCAGAGTTCGGGCTGGCTTCCTCTGGGGGCTGGGGCTGGCTGCTGGGGGCACTGAGGTTGGGCCGTGATGGGAAGGCGCAACTGGCCCTGGCAGGGGCTGGTTGGAGAGTCACTCGGTGCTGATGGAGGAGAGTGAGGGCGGATAGGATCTGGATAGTGGGGTTGCTGGGCACACGGGACGGGGTGTGGGGGCTGGGATTTGAGCAGGGAAGGGATTGCAGGAGAGCAGTGGCCTGAACCCTGTGGCAGAACGTCAGATGCCTTGCCCTGCACTTGGTGTTCGTATTTCAACGGTGTTACCACTTCGGTTCATATGTGTAGGAAAAGTGAGCCACTGTGAATCTTACCCCTTTTTCCTGTGTCCGCCAGTACGACACCGTTCCCATTCAGTCCAGCGTGGTGTTATGTGCTTGCCCGTCCCCATCAATGGTGAGGACCCAGACTGAATCCGGCACGGCCCCTGGCATCCCGAGCGGCGGCAGCAGACAGGGCCCTACCATGGACAGCACCGCAGCTGCGTCCCGCCCGAGCGCAAGCTCCCTGCAGCACACCGCCCAGCCGCCGCCACAGCCTCGGAAGAAACGGCCTGAAGACTTCAAATTTGGGAAAATTCTTGGTGAAGGCTCTTTTTCCACAGTGAGTACCTGCTGCTGCTGTTTCCTCAATGAGTATATTTTCCTTGGGAAGGCTGCCTTTCCTCAGGGCTTGGAGCTAGGGGACCCCGTGACCTGGGTGGTGGTCTTCCCCAGGCGAGGGTCTCCAGCCTCTCTGGGGTTCTACTCCGGTTGTGAGGGTGATTTGGGGCCGCCCACCACCCGGTGAATCACGTGGGTGAGATCCCTAAGCCATGATTTTTGAAGACAAAAGCTGTAAAAGGCGTCTGTTGGTCTTTCCGTTGCTGGTCTGGTGTGGGGTTTGATGCAGTTGTTTTTACCCTAACTCGTCATCGACAGATGTCGCCTGCGTCCTGTGTCCTGTCAGCCCTCCCTTCGTTTGAAAGTGTCAGTATCAGTGTCTCTTCAGACCTTTCAGGAAACGCTTAATGACCTTTACTCTTTCTCTGTTATTTAAAACAATGCATAAAACGGCACAGCCTTGACCCTGCTGGAGGCACAGCCCCAGACCGGCTAGCCTCCAGGTTCTCGGTCTCCGCTTCAGTCAGCACCTCTGTTTGCTACCTGAGCCAGTTGTGCCTGTCTTGTGGTGTTTTTTTCCTTTTCGAGCAAAGAAGTGAAGGTTCAGAGCAGCCCATTTGCGGAGGTGGGAGCCCCACGTGGCTGTGATGGGGCCGGGGGCTTGCGCAGGCTCGGGGGCGGCCTGGGCATCAGCACGCCCTGCAGATGGCCGGGGCCTTCTTGGCCGGCCTCCGGGGAGAAACCTCATGCGAAACCTGTTTCGCTTTTCTCTTTTTACATTCATGAAATGTCACAAAATATAACGAAGAATGTGAAGTTTTATAGCTCACCCACGTTCCCAACTTGGTTTTAATCAATGTTAACTTTTTGTTCCCCATGTGTGTGTATATATACACACGGGGAGCAAATATATATATTTGTATGTATTTATATATACATATAGTACGTACATATATATGTACATATTTAAGGTTCTGTTTGTTTATTTATTTAAATTATTTATTTATTTATTTCACAGAGAGAGATCACAAGCAGGCAGAGAAGCAGGCAGAGGGGTGGGGGAGGAAGCAGGCCCCCTGCTGAGCAGAGAGCCCGATGTGGGGCTCGATCCCAGGACCCTGAGATCATGACCTGAGCCGAAGGCAGAGGCTTAACCCACTGAGCCACCCAGGCGCCCCAATTCTGTTTGTTTATTTGAGAGTGAGCGAGCCTGAGCATGTGCACTCAAATGGGGAAGGCAACGGAGCAGGGAGCCCAACGCAGGGCTTGATCCCAGGACCCTAGGATCATGACCCAAGCAGAAGGCAGACGCCTAACTGACTGAGCCACCCAGGCGCCTCCCCTTACATTTTAAATTTAGATTTTTTTTTATTGGCCGTTTCTGTTTAAATTACGAAACAGTTGTGCCCACGTGATAACAGTCTTCACTATGAGGATAGTCCCCAGTAGTTCTGGTAACTCACAGATCTTCTCAGAAAGAAGAAACTGTTTTGAAAAGAACCTTGGCTGTTGTGCACAGATACTGAAGAGTCCGGCGAAAGAAGCAGCGTTCTCCCTCTCTCAGTTCTGCTTCATGGACATTTATCTCGACTCATGAATGAGGACTTATTTATGAAACTCCCCCTTGTCTGTGGGTCTGCACAGCAGGTAAAAGTAGGCCCCGTCCATTCTGGATGATGCAGTCCTGATGTCGGAAGGGCCCAGCTGTGATGCTTGTCTCCCTGCGCCTTTCGAAGCCGGTTGCCCGGGAGGAGCCCTGGGAGCTGCAGGCTCCTCCCTGGCGCTGCGTGTAGTCCCGCTGCTCTGGGCCTCAGATGATATGTGCTGCCCTCAGGTCTTCCTCATCGCTCCGGAAATAGAGACCACTTAAAATTAGATTTCTAGAGGAAGGGGGGAGGACAAGCGGCTGTTCCCAGCCCGATCAGGATCTGCACTTGGCCAAGCCTGGCCCTGGAGAGTGTGGAGGCCCAGCCTGCTGCTGCCTGGCCCCCTGGGGATGATGCTGACGTCCAGATGAGCTCTGCTGTTGGCCCCACGGTGACAGAGGGATGTGTCATGCCTTGTTCCCTGGAAGAGGGATGCTCCCTGCCCTGTGCCCATAGGGAAACCTGCACGTGAAATATTGAATTCACACAGCAGGAGATTTCCTAAGTGCCTTCTTTTTTTTTTTTTTTTTAAGATTTTATTTATATGAAACAGAGAGAGATCACAAGTATGCAGAGAGGCAGGCATAGAGAGAGAGAGGAGAAAGCAGGCTCCCCGCTGAGCAGAGAGCCCGATGCGGGCCTCGATCCCAGGACCCTGAGATCATGACCCGAGCCGAAGGCAGAGGCTTAACCCACTGAGCCACCCAGGCGCCCTCCTAAGTGCTTTCTTCAGAAAAGATCCCGTTAATTACTACTGCTTTCTGATAATGTCTTTCTTCCTCTTTCCGCCTTCCTTGTAGCTAGCACATGCTCCTGTGAAGAAACTTAACATTTCATAAACGCATGCCCCAGTGCTTGAGAGCAGCCCACACAGGTGCATTCCTTCGGCAAGATCTCTGAGATCTTTCCATTTGAGCACATACAATCCAAACCCATTCTTCTTAATCACTGCAGGTCGTTTCACACAGTGTTTTCCCCAGATTGCTTCTGGTGAGTCTGTTGGAGAATTCTGTAATGTGATGAGTCTGGCCTCTGAAGGTGTTCCCTGAGGGGAGGCCCAGGGATTCCCCCAGGATCCGGACAGGTTTCCATCTGCACTCTGATCTTCGGACCATCCTTCCTACAGGTGTCTGGTGGCGGGGACCGGCGCCATCCGCCTCAGCTGGCTGTGGTGGGTCGGGTGCCCCAGCTTCCCGGCCAATGGGCCTCATCAGGCCTGTGGAAATTGGTGCCCACTTGTGCCCAGAGGTTGCTTGCATAGAAATCTCTTCCACGTTGTGCTGAGCCCTGTTGGCTCTCTGTCCCCAAAGTGGAGTGTGACTACAGGCCTTAGGTGTGCGGCCGAGAAAGCCTGCCAGGAGTGGGATTGCACCCTGGGTGGGAGGCGCGCTGTGCAGCGTGCACCTCCGTGGGCCTCATGGGCCTTGGTTTCCTGGGCCTTTGACAGCAGGGACAGTGTTTACCGTCCCCGAGTGCAGCACCCACTGAAATGTGTGGTCACAGTTCTTTGTAAAAGCCCAAATTCAGGGCAGCTTATCACAGTGAACATAACTGAGAGCATATTCTAAAAGTTATTTTTTGAAGGTGTTCCCAGGACCCATCTGGGCTATTATTTGCTGTTTCTGTCTCCTGTTTGTGGGGGTGACGTTAGTCCAGGATATTCCTGAATGCATAGGTCACTGCACCCTGGGAACTCAGCAGCTGACGGAAAGCCTTCTGAGGACCCTTGATTGATCTGTGCGTTTGCTGTTCATTAGAACACAGCAACTTCATCGTTAATATCCAGCCAGATTTTTAGCACAGGACCAATATGTTTTAACGTAATTTCAGATATTTAAATGTAATTTAATGGTGGGGGCAGGTTATCCTGTGTGGTCAGCCTCAAGGTAACTCGTGAGAGTTGACGCCCGGGTTATACTGAGTGTTTTTTCTCTTCTCTTTTCCTCTTTTCTTCCCACACCAGGTTGTCCTGGCCCGAGAACTGGCAACCTCAAGGGAATATGCTAGTAAGTACAGACCCTGGGGCTGCGCGTCTGGGGTGCAGGCGAGGGCGTGTGCCAGCGCGCGGCGGCCCGGCCTCCCAGCACCTAGAGGCTCTGTGCTGATTTCAGGGGTGGGATGCTGGTGGTCTTAGAGACCATAAACCCGATGGGTAGGTTTTGTGAAAAACTTTGATTTGTATCAGTTACTTTGATGAGTTTTGTTTTTAGTATATTTTCTTAAACCATTATCAATCGTAGTAACTTGCTTCTCTCTTACTTTAAGTTAAAATTCTAGAGAAACGTCACATTATCAAAGAGAACAAGGTCCCGTATGTAACCAGAGAGAGAGACGTGATGTCACGCCTGGATCACCCGTTCTTTGTTAAACTTTACTTCACATTTCAGGATGACGAAAAGCTATGTATCCTTTGAACAGTCAGAGGCTTCTGAAGTCACACCAGTGACCCCGTACGGTTTTGGAGTCATGGCCCCGCTGTGTATGTTCACAAGTCGTTTCTTTCCTGGAAAGGACAGGGTGGCATATTCTCAATGCGGATGAATTCACGTCACTTTGCTTTGGGAGCCCCCTGGGATTGCTGGTGTTCACTGAAGTAGAATGTTCCTTCAAAAGAAGTCATCACAAACCTTTTTGAGGTTTTTTTGTTCATAAACAATCTAAAGGATTGTTAGGATTTTTAACCCTGTGGCTGCTAGACATTTATTCAGAGGCATTCCCTCTTCCTCTAACTGGTGTTCTTGGGATATCCGTCAGATGTCAGGTCCTCCGCTCAAAGCAGGGCAGTGTGGGAGGAAAAAGGATCTTGGGTGCCCAGGGCGCCTCTCTGCTCTCTTTGGCCCATGGGTATGGGGTCTGTTTGGAAGGGACTGCTTTATCAGGCGTAGCCCCCAAGTGAGAAGTCCAGGGAGCCACCCACAGGAGTCCAGAGTCTTTCCCACAGTACCCAGAACGCTGTCCTCCCCAGGCCATCCAGCCTCCCTCCCTCTTTCCTGCCCTCTGTCCTCCCCGTGGCTCCCACCCCAGTTTGCTCTCTGCCTGTGCATGGCTCTGGTCACCCAGTGCCTCTGGCTCTCCAGCAAGGCTGTCACACACCACTGATTGCTTCTTCTGCTCCCTGATTTCTCCACTAACCCCTGGAGCAGTGTTTTTTCCCCCTCTTTTACCTTGGCTTAGGGAGCAGGGCAGACAGGGTACCCTGGTCTCCAGGGTAGACCACACTGTGTTATCTTGCTCATTCCAGGGCCTGCCCATCGCATGGCCTAGCTAGCCAGTTTCTCCTCGTTTCACAGACCTTTCCTGTCATTTTTCCTAACCAGGACTTGCCCAGCCCCTCTGTGCCCCCATGACTCTGTCCCCAGTTCCAATAGATGCTCTTCTGGTTTCTGCTGCACTGAGAGGTCAGCTGTCACGTGGAATTGCCTCAGGGCTTGTTCAGGCCTCAACCCCTTAATTCTTTCCCTCCTGCCCTCACGTGTCCTCAGCTTGTGCCCTACTCCTACAGAGCTGGTCCCCGTAAGGGCTTGGCTTGCCCATCCACCCCCTCTCCCCTAGGCTTTCCCCTGCCTCTTTCTACACATATTCTTCTCGTTTAGAACTTTGCTCCATCCCGTTCCCCCTCCCGCCCCGGCCCCAGCACCATTTTCTGGCTCCTTCAGCTGTCGGCTCAATTTGTCCTTTCACTTGCTGAGTGCCGGGCCATGGGGGTATGCTGGTGAAAAGGTGAAGGCTGGGCCTTCATGGAGTCTGCATACCCAGGAGCAGTTAGACACACCCAGATCGCCAGTGCCCGCTCAGTAGACTTGGGGAGCGAGGGCAGTGAGGGCAGGTAAGAGGGTGACGGAGAGTGCTGCTCGCGTAGCTTGCTGGTCTGCAGGGACGTGGACTTCGGCCAGAGACCTGGGTAGAGCGAGGGCTAGAAGCTGGCTTGCTGGTGGAGTGACAGAGCTGGTCAGGGGCCAGCTTTTCCTCCCGTAGAGGCCTGACAAGAGTTACGGATTTTCTTCTAAGTGCGCTGGGAGCCCCGAGCGCTGGAGCAGAGCAGCCATTTGCTGTGATCGTGGCTGGTGCCACCCTGAAGGCTCCGGTGAGGAAGCTGGGCTAGGGGCAGTGCAGTCAGCCTGGCTCCTGGGTGTGGGGCCTCGGGCCGGGGTTCCCGGTGGTGCTGGGAGCGAGCCAGAAGAGACCGAGGGTGAGACCAGGCTGGAGGTGTGTGGGGGGTTGGCGTTTGATGCATCTGTGGGTGCTGACTGCTGCTGGGTGAGGAGTCAGGGCAGCGTGCGAACTGAGGGCATCAGCAGGCTGGCCGGCCACCGGAGGGCGGGCCCTCAACAGGGAATAGTTCTGAGGCCTGAGCCCGAGTCATCCCGACACAGAGACTAGCATGTAGAAGGCAGGGTGTTGCCCATGAGCGGAGAGGACAGACTTCGGGGCGCAGGGCTGGTTGGTTTCCAGTGTGGGGTGCTTGGCGGCCAGGCCGGGGGCTGTGGAGTGGCCAAGCACCTGGGCCCTGGGTCTGCCCTGTGGAATGGCCCCGGTATAGGTTGTTTTGGGGTGGGGAGAGAGTTTCAGGAGAGAGAGCTGAGGAGGTCCTGGCAGCACCCGTGGTGGGTTTTGCCCAGTGGTTCTACCCTCGTGGGGCAGCAGTCAAGGGGTGTCATAGCCACGGGCATGTAGGGCAGAGGGTCCTGCCTGGTTTGTTCAGGGTTAGAGAACGTGTGCTTCTGCCTGGCTCCAGCATCAGCCCTGTCCCCACTACTCTGCCGTCGCTGCTTGTGGCCCCCGGAGGACACTGAAGAGTCGTCTTCGAGGCTGCTCAGTGTCTCTCTCACCTGTGAGGCCGCCTGGACTGACTGCTTATCATTGCGTGTCCCTTCTTGCGGCTCGGGGACAGGAGGAGTGCTCTAAACCTTAGGAGGCTGGGCTCCCGTTCTGTCCCCCCTTGGCTTCGTGACCCTGAGTCAGTTGCTTAACTTCTCTGGGCCAGGTCCCTTTGCCAAGCACAGGCGTTGAGCTTACCGGGCTCTGTCACAGCCCTGGTCTGTGCTCATCCTTCTGGGAATTCACCCACTTCCTGGGACAGAACAGCTTCCTCCTTGCTGTCCTGGGCCACTGGCTGTGCCAAGGGAGGGAGAAATTTTCTGGGCTATGAGGCGGACCCAGGAGGTGCGAGCGAATACTTGTGGGGATGAGGAAGGTGCGTGCTTGGAGACAACGTGGGCTTGGAGCCAGGACCCTCAACAGTTGTTATGTTCGGAACCTTTGGTTGCTTTAGCCTCAAGCTGAGTGAAGAACTAGAAGTGTCCTTCACCCGGGAAACAGGAGCTCCAGAAGCGGTCAGATAAGGGGCGAAACCGCGTGAAGCTCAGGCGCTGTCCCTGCACCGAGGCGAGCCTCTCGGGTCCGCTGCAGGCTCCTCGGCACTCCCGAGTGCTCAGGCTCGTGGCCAGTCCAGGTGGGGCCGCTGCCGAGGGGGCCGTGGACACCAGCCTTCCCTGGAGAGGAGCCAGCAGGGTGAGCTGTGAAGGGGTCTGGCCGGGACCCTTTGCATTCCTTGCTTCAGGTTCCTGTTGTCCTGGTTGGAAGGGCGTGGGTGGCCATGTTTGGGGCTGAATCAGGGACAGGTTTGGGCAGCTTTGCTCGCTGGTCCCTTCCATTCTGGGCTTGTCCTCATGGCCCTACAGCATCAGACTGTCCTCGGTGGGAGCCCACAGTGCCCTGGTGGAAACCTTGAGCGTGGGCCACCCCTTCCTGCCCTCAGAGCCACTAGCTAGGGCAGTGAGGACTCCTGTCGCTGTGGCCCTGGCTGCTAGGGAGCTGTGAAGTCAGCCTGCACGGTTCCATGTATAGGGGCACATGTTCGGAGCTGCTGAGCGGAAGCTGGCGTATGGGCTGTTACTGTCCCGCCGGTAATCCTTCTGGGAAGGGAGAATGGAAGCAGATCACACCACAGTGTGAAAGGGAAAAACGTCTCTGTTTCTCCTGTCGATGAAATCGAGAAGATAATAAAATGGCAGTTCTCTTACGAGACTTGTTACTTTGTACTTGGACAGGAGCTTGCATTTGAGAAACCTTTACGTGAATGAACTCTTAGCACACTGTGAATGAGGTTGGTGCTCAGTAAATGCTCTGAGCCCGCCATGGTGCAGGTTTGGAGGTTGAATTAGGGTGGGGCCCCCCTTTTCCTTGCTGAAGCCTGCCGAGAGGCACGTGTGCCACAGGCTCTAGCCACTCTGCCCCAGTGCCTTCGCTTCCCCGAGCCCGTCACCTTCTGGAGAGGGTGGGGTCCAGAAGGAGCAATTGGGCCGTGGAGTGTGTGTCATAGTGTTCTTGGGAGAAACCATGCTGGGGCCTGGTCCTGGGGCTGGGGCCAGGGCGTCCTATCAGCCCCAGCAGCTGTGGGTGTGATCGCGACAGGGTCTGGCTTGAAGCGGGACTGCTGTCTCAGGACATGGGTACCTTCAGTTTTCATTAATTAAAAATATTCCTATGGGGCTGTAAGATTAGTTTTAAAAAATGACTTTTGTACTCTTCCTTAACGATGCAACATTTAGACTTTGGTCTTAGTTATGCCAAAAATGGAGAACTACTTAAATACATTCGAAAAATTGGCTCATTCGATGAGACATGCACCCGGTTTTACACGGCCGAGATGGTGTCAGCTCTGGAGTACTTGCATGGCAAGGGCATCATTCACAGGTACCAGGCCTCTGGCTCAGCTCTGCGGGGTTGCCTGGAGGGATGGGAGGCCTCCTGGTAAGAACTGAGGAGAAGCTGACGTCACCCGGTGCTGAGACTCACGGGGCCTCCCAGTGCCGGGTGACGCTGGTGGCCGGTGGCGCCCTCGGCCGTGCCAACTGGTGCTGTCCGTCCCACCTTGGAGCTCGCATGCGTGCTCATTTCTGATCTCTATCTCTGTGACTCTCCGATTTTGTCAAATCGAAAGTGTTCGTACGAGCTCTCTTGTTCCTGTTACAGATGGTTTTTGTGGCAAAATACACATAACAAAATTTAACATTTTAAGACTTTTTAAAGTATTTATTTATTTGACAGATAAACAAGTAGGCAGAGGAGTGGGGGAAGCAGGCTCCCCGCTGAACAGGGAGCCCGATGCGGGGCTCCATCCCAGAACCCTGGGATCACGACCTGAGCTGAAGACGGAGGCTTTAACCCACTGAGCCACCCAGGCGCCCCACAAAATTTAATATTTTAATCCTGTTTTCTGGTTTTATCAAGAAACAGTGAACACTTATTCCTGTGTAAGTCAAAGGTGTACAACGTGGTGGCGGATTTATATATATTGTAAAATGATGACCTGACCACAGTAGGTTCCCAAGATCTGCCTTTTACGGGTTAAAAATGCTGGCATACAGTTTTACCAAAAAGCGTATTGAAAATGACAGATGCGTTTCTGAAGTGACGTGGTGGGAGCGTACCGATTAGACGCAGCTGGTATTTGCTCAGCGTGAACTTTGTAGACTCTCATTCTTGGTTGTTAGTCCGTGAAGATTAGAAGTATTTAATCAGTTCATTTGTTTTCAGCAAATTTAGTGTTTGTGATAACATCGCTGTTGAGATATGTCATCTCAGATGCACCAAATCTGCCTTCACAGGGACCTGAAGCCAGAAAACATTTTGTTGAATGAGGACATGCACATCCAGATCACGGATTTTGGAACAGCGAAAGTGCTGTCCCCAGAGAGTAAACAAGGTGCGTGAGCGCCCTCTTCCCAGACGTCCAGCTCAGTGTTCCAGATGGAAAACAGCTTCTCAGAAATGCGTCGAATGGCATCGTATTCACTGCCAGTGACGTGTTCGCCACACCCCTGCTGTTGTACACACTTAAGCCTTCACGGGGCAGGCCCTGGCTTCGGGGAGGCTCTGCCTGAAGGCCTGGGCAGTGGGCGCCTGGTCTGCCGGGCGGAGGGATGCCAGGTGCCACATGCGTTCCTGGTGTTCTGTGCGGGTGTGTGGGGTCAGTGGAGTCCGCTCCCAGCCCTCTGCGTCGGGACTGTCGGTTGTAACGGGGAGAGCTCTGCCCTGTATCCCGGTGCCCGCCGTCAGCCCCCTCTGTCTCCCCATCTCCGCGGTGTAGTTGATCCGGCGCGCTGGTCAGAGCGAGGTTCTGTGAAGTCACAGAACACGTGGGGGCTGATGTCTAACCTCCTCAGGCGCACGTTTATAATTACAAACCCTCCTTATCACTGTTCCCTTAGGGTAATTCCTGGTGTTGGTTTATGCATCATGACCGCTCCATCGCCTGAGGAGTGACTAACAGTAAAGTGGGCCACAAGAGTGACTTGGGGTGTCCTGGCTAGCCAGCTGGGACCTTGAAATTAATAAGGGACCTTGAAAATGAACCTTGAGTCAGGACAATTGTCCCTGACAGAGCTACTCTGAGCCTGTCCCGAGGGGTTGGGCAACGTGCTCGCCTCTGCCAGGGCCTGTGGGGACCCATGAGAAGGACTGGGCTTTCTGGTGGAAGCACCCAGCTCGCTCGAGCTGCCTTCCTGCGGAAGAGGGGAGCCGTGAGCCCCACGCACCAGCGGGAGAGCCCTCTAGCTCAGCCTGGCAGGCCTGCTCTGCCTCAGGTTGAACGGAGGCCTCCTTAGGGAGCGTGCGCTCCCAGGGCGGCTGGCAGGCTGGTGCTCGGGGTCCCCTCTTCCGGCCGCACCTGGCTGGGCCTCTGCGTTCTCAGCAGCGCGCCTTATCTTTGCTTTCCGGGTGCTCTCGCAGCCCCGTGTTTTCACTCGTGGTACTGGTGTGAGGACTCCGTTGGTGCCTTCCTGTTGTGCAGACACCCACTGAGTCGCCAAGACGACGTCTGGGATTTGGGCACTTCTCTGGGACTCCTAGGGCACCACCCCTTGGGGGCCAAAACAAAACTTGCAGTCAAGGAAGACACGCTTATTTCTCAACAAATTTCAGTCCTGGTGCCACTCGCCCGCCTTTTGCGGCTCCCTTTCCACACAAGTGTCCTGTGGGCACTCGTGAGATGCCCCGAAACCTTGATCGGTTGGACTCGTTCCTACTGCAGTCACGTCGAAATGGCCGGCAGCCGAGTTTCTGAGGATATGGTGTAACCCGTAGCCGTAAGTGTTGCCCGTGACCCAGGAGAACTGAATGGGCAATGCCGTGGTCCTGTTCTTGTCATGTTGTGTGTGACTTCCTGTGGGCACCCCCAGTCAGCCTCAGAAGCCAGCCCCCTCACAGTCTGCTCTGGCCGCTCCCCCCGCCCCTCACATGCTCTTTAGAATCTGATACTTGGCACAGGCTAGTCCTGTTGCCTTGTAGTCGTTTAGAAAATAGAAGAATGTAAATGCCTTGGTGAAATAGTGAAATACACCTGCATTTCTTTCTTTCTAGAAGGAGAAGTCTGAGAAAGTGCTTACACTGTAAACCAGGGAGAGCCCATATATACAGAGGAGTTGGCTTTTTTTTTCCTTCTTAGAGAAAGAGGGAAAAACATGTATAATTACGTGAGGGATTCATTATAATGACTTGCTGTCACTTTCTGTTTGAAGTAGTTCAGAATCTTAGAATTTATTCTTTTTTTTTTTTTTTAAGATTTTATTTATTTATTTATTTGACAGAGATCACAAGCAGGCAGAGAGGCAGGCAGAGAGAGAGGAGGAAGCAGGCTCCCCGCTGAGCAGAGAGCCCGATGCGGGGCTCGATCCCAGGACTCCGAGATCAAGACCTGAGCTGAAGGCAGCGGCTTAACCCACTGAGCCACCCAGGCGCCCCTTAGAATTTATTCTTGCATTAGCTTTTACCTTTCGTGCAGAGATGGATTCCTGAAGACATCTTAAGCTTGCAGAAAGCAGGTGTCGGCGGGAACATGGCCCAGGCTCCTTAGCTGTGCTGTGCATCTGAGCTTGTTGCATCCTCCTGCAAGAGGCAGGTTGTCTGTCTTCCCAGACAGACACAGGTTGTGCCTGTGTATCTCACTGCTTCCTCTGGAGTCGCGTGGCCCTGTGGTTGTGAGAGGCAGAGATAGGAAACAGCAGCCAGCTGTGGAAGAGGGTATGTGAGACTGAGGAGGACTTCCTGGCACAGAGGACTTTGACTTCTAACCTACCCTAACAAGGGTCCCAGACCTGTCCCCGAGTGGGGACAGCTTAATCACGCAGAGTAAGCCAGTAAGCTCCTTGTCTGTGGCTGTGGCCCTGGTCTTTGCCCTCTTTGTAAGAGGTTTGGGGAGCTTAGGATGCCACAGAGGTTCAGACTTAGGGTTTGTGTCTAGAAAAATGTGTCTTGAGCCATGGGGACCTTTCTGGTATCCAGCCAGATGTGGAGGTTCCATTCGCTAAACAAGGGGGGAGGGCTGGCAGGTGACTGGAGAGGGGCCGTGAGGGGCGGGGCGGGGAGACTGTGGAGCCGAAGTCATTTCTGTCACTCACTCCAGCTATACCTTCCATGGATGGCCATCTTCCAGACCCTCAGACCAGTATTGACCACCCCTGTCTTGTGCTGTGGACTTTGGACCCTGGCCAAGTGCCTCTGCCTTGCCCCCAGTGTGGCATGAGCAGGATATCTCCACCCCCCCCAAAGCCAAGTTCACATGTTGGAGCACAGAGTCAAGTTCTTATACTTAGACCCCCAGGTACAGCTCTATATCGAGAAATGATTTACTCTGGTCTTCTCAGTATTGGTTGGTGTTTATTTAGTCATAGCTGTGATACATGAGAGTAATTGCTTTTTGTAAAATTCAGACCATGCTTTTGACCTGATTTCCACCATCAATTAGTTTTCCCAGTAAATATTTTAGTATTTATCACTAAAGTATAAAGTTTCTTTTTTTTTTTTTTTTAAGATTTTATTTATTTATTTGGCAGAGATCACAAGTAGGCAAAGCAGCAGTCAGAGAGAGAAGGGGAAGCAGGCTCCCTGATGAGCAGAGAGCCCGATGCAGGGCTCGATCCCAGGACCCTGAGACCATGACCTGAGCTGAAGGCAGAGGTTTAACCCACTGAGCTGCCCAGGTGCCCCTATAAAGTTTCTTTTAAAAAGTATAACTGTAGGGGTGGCTGGGCTGCTCAGTGGGTTAAACCTCTCCCTTAACCCACTGATCATGATCATTTAACCCACTTAAACATGATCCTGGGGTTCTGGGATCGAGTCCCGCATCGGGCTTCTTGCTAGGCGGGAAGCCTGCTTCTCCCTCTCCCCCGCTTGTGTTCCCTCTCTCACTGTGTCTCTCTCTGTCAACAAGTAGGCAAAGCAGCAGTCAGAGAATATATATATATATATATATATATATATATATAACTGCAACAGCAAACCATTTTCATAATGAGAAACTACAGTATTTGTTTTATATCCCAGAATACTGTGTTAAATTTCCAGGTGTCATAATTCTACATCAGGATTTTTTGGTGGTTGTCTGCTTGAATCAGGATTTAAATAAAGCTCCACAGTGGGCCTAGCTAATTTGTTTCTTAAATTTCTTTTTCATTCTTCATTTTTTCCCTTGTAGTCTGTTGAAGAAACCAGGTTGTTTGTCTTAACAGAGTTTCCTGATTGCATCTCTGCGGAGTCCTGTAACAATGCTCCTGTCCCCTCTATGTGCTGGAAATGGGAAGTTGGATCTGGCCCCTCGATCACATGCAGATTCTGTCCTCCCACAACCAGAGCTGGGGGGTGTGTTCTCCATTAGGACACTCATAACACCCTGTCATCTCTCCCTGTGATGTCAGCAGCCCTTTTTAGCCATAATGGCCTAGATCCATTAATTCTCTAGAGAATGCAGAATGATCACAGTCTAATTCTTTCATTCTTGGGCTGGAATTCTTTAAAGGACAACTTCCCCATGGTAACTGTTTGGTTAGCTATGGTGGTATTAACTACAGAGACAAAATAGGGTAAGTGCTTGCTTTCCTTTCCCCTTTATTTGCCACTTGCGACAACCTTGAACCGGTTCGCTGTCATCCTTCAGCGTTGACCAGTTCTTCAAAAACATGATTTACCCCTTCCTCACACCATACGTACAAAAGCTAACTCCGAAGTTGAACTTGGGTAGAGCAGAAATGTGAATATAGAATGCAGAAACTGAAACTCTTGAAAGGAAGCGTAGGTGTAAATCTCCATGACCTCGGGGTCGGCGGGGAGTGGTTCTTAGATACGCCATCTGAGGCATGAGCCACAGAAGAGAAATAGCTCTGTCCAGTTGGGAAACTTCTGTGCTGTGTTACCGTTGAGAAAGTGAAAAAAATATTGCCAAATCGTGTATCTTAAGGCACTTATGAAATTTCATAACTTAAGAAATAAAACGAAATAAAAATTTAAAAGTGGGCACAGGGTTTGAATAGATGTTTCTCCAAAGAAGACAAACAAATGCCAGTAAATACATGAAAAGATATTCAAGGTCGTTGGGGAAATGCAGATCAAAAGCACACTGAGCCACTGCTTCTAGAACGGCTGTGATCACAGTGACCAACAGTGATGACAAACCTTAGCATGGGTGTGGAGGAACCCAAGCCCTCGTGTCCTGTAGGTGGGAGCGTGAAATGGTGCAGTCCCTCTGGAAGTCAGGTGGCAGTTTGCCATAGTTAGCGTGTAACTCAGCAGTTGTACTCCCTGGCACATACCCAAGAGAGCGGAGAACATGTTTATGGAGAAAAGGTGTAGAGGACTGTTGAGAGCAGCTTTTGTCTGATAGCCAGAATATGGAGACAACTCGTGTCCGTCAGGTGATCATGCAGATGGGTA